GTCACTGATTATGCACCAAAATTCTGGCTCAGATTGGATGATGTGTCTCTGAAATCTAACTGTTGGAATAATCTATGGGGGTGCACTTGAGTCAAATGCTAAAGAACAATATCGATGTGTCTATAATTGCTCACTGATCATGTACATAAAATCTGGTACATATTTGTAGTGAACTAAGCCTCAGGTCAAAATCTGGCCTTGAGGGCCTGCCTGGAACAAGAACTGTTTTTCATTGATTTGAGTCCAGAAACACAAGATTAAGTCATCCAGAGACTTTCTAAGTGTCCTGCACTGATCAATTGAAAGAACACTCTTTTTCTATTATCATTACTATTTTACAAATGTTTGATAATCAAAGTGTGTTTAGTTCAAACCATTTTTAAATGTTGAAGTGAACTAATCATTTTTAATCAACTGTGAAACAGTATTAGTGATTTTTAATCCTCATGCAAAGTAGAAATCACGTTAAGGTCTGTTACAGAGTAATTATGCATTTTCTGATTTTCTGTCTTTGAATGAGCAAGTGTAAGTTGGTCCAAGGTTAGAGTCAAACGCAAAACAAGTTGTTGGAACGAACTGTCATGTTTTAAATCCTCTCAGACGTAAATATAGAGGCTGGCACCTGTTTTCCCCCAACTCGCCTAAATATTCCTCTCGTCTGCCTGAAAAACATTTTCAATCTGTTCCATAACATTCTTGCTGTTTTTCTGACTTCTAGTGACCTCTTACGTCACAAAAACGACCAATCAGGAACCTCCCAAATGAACCGGAAATAGAACTCTTTAAATGTCGGCACTTCCTAGTTCAAACCAGTCGGGTGGAGAGTTTGCAGAGCTTCAGTCGCTTCAGGCTCCGGCTTCAGTCGTTTGCAGCTCCAGTGCTGGGAGAACAGAAGTCCAGGCATGATCCAGAGCTCTTCCGAGTCTTGTGGGATTATGACATCTTCCACCTCTGAGTGGAACTTCTGACGGACTCCACTCATGTGAGTCCACCAGGAGGTGAACTTGTGTCGAACAAGTACCGTCACTACTTCGGACGATTCACAGCTGTTCCTACGGAGACGCTGAAAGGGTGCGTTAAATGGAACTTCGTACCAGTGGAGACATCTCCAGGTAAAGAGTTGATTTATACCACCTAAGTGTACCAGGGAAGAAGCTGGGAACTCACCGGAGAGTGCCGTTCTGATGCCGACACACACATTTCCCTCATCCCTCCTTTCTCTCAACTTAAACTTCAATTTCCATCTTTAAACTCTTCTATCTGCTAGAAATCATTCCAGATATTTTAGAAATGTCTGTTGTACAGCTGGAAGCAAGGGAAACAATCGCCGTATTGTTTCCTCCTTGTAAAACTTGCTAAATTAGCCATGTTGTTATTTTTCAATTTGCCAATTAATGTAAATGTGTGATGTTAAACTTTGATTCTGTAAATAAATGACCGCATTCATTTTGATGGGTCAAAGAAAATTAACGTCTCACGATACATTTTAATAATTCAATGCACGACATTATTCAGTCCAGAAAAATGAAAGAATCCGTTTAATTTATGAATATATCACAGCAGATGTTCATCTACATATTGGATGATATTTCACTGCAATATAACTGTTGGAATAATCTAGGGAGCACACTGGAGTCAAAAGCTAAACAACAATACCAGTGAATGTAGAAGTGCTCACTAAGGACGTACCCAAAATCTGGCATAGATTGGATGATATATCACTGAGATATAACTGATTAAATAATCTAGGGGGCGCACTTGAGTCATATGTTAAACCACAATATCAATGTGTCTAGACGTGCTCACTTATTATGCATAAAAAATGTGGTTCAGATCGAATGATGTATCACTGAGATATACCTGTTGGAATAATGTAGGGTGCGCACTTGAGTCAAATGTTAAAGAACAATACCAATGTGTTTATAAGTTCTCACTGATCACGCACAATAAATCTGTTACATATTGGATGATATTTCACTGCAATATAACTGTTGCAATAATGTAGGGGGCACACTGGAGTCAAAAGTTACAAAGCAATACCATTGTGTCTACAAGTGTTCACTAATTACGCACCCAAAATCTGGTTCAGCTCAAATAATATATCATCTGACAAAAAATGTAAGGTTCAAGTTTAATAGACTGTCTAAAAAAGTTAAATCTGGTCCTCTGGACATTCAAAAAAAAAAAAACAAAGCAAATCAACGAAAAATGTAGAAACGTTTCGTCTCTCATCCAAGAGACTTCCTCAGTCTGAGGAGCTGTATTCAGCTCAGACTCTTAAATAGCACCTTCTCAGAGTGGATCAACCAGTTTTGCTGCTGACAACCAAAACCAGCTTATCACATGCTCAAGAAGGACCATCAGCCTAACAATGGATCATTAGCACACTGATGGCTGTTTACTGTTCACAGAGGGCTGAGTGATACTAGCAATCACAGCATTGTAAGAGGGGGATCTTTCTACCTGGATTATTGAGCATGCATCAGGATATTTAATAGACTGTGTCATCATTTTTAGGCTCGAGCAGCAAAGTGCTGCAAAGGCCTATTGTAATCACACTGTTCAAGCCCGAGCTGCAATTTTTTCCGCCAAGTGAATTGCCATTTTGGGGGCCTTAACATATCCCAATAGTCACCAAATTTGCCGGACGCATGAGGACTGGTGAAAAATTAAGTATTATAGTTTTTTTTATGTATTTATTTTGTTTTTATCGCTAACATAACTTGTTTTAGCTCATGTTTTTTTCTCTCCCAAGCTGGGGTTAACAAATGTGCTGAAACACTTGTATTTCTGTCTCGTTGGCCTCTGAAGCTCCAGAAATAGTCAACTATGAGCCACTGGGACTGGAAGTAGACATGTGGAGCATCGGCGTGATCACCTACATCTTGTAAGTGATCTACGAGCACAAACAGAAGGTCTGTAACTGCAGTTTGAGAGCAAACACTGATGTTTATTTTGGTTCAGGTTGAGCGGAGCATCTCCATTCCTGGGAGAGACCAAACAGGACACCCTGGGCAACATCTCAGCTGTAAATTATGAGTTTGACGAGGAGTTCTTTGGTCACACCAGTGAGCTGGCCAAGACGTTCATCAGCCAGCTGCTGGAAAAAGATAAGAAGTAATGAGCATGGTTTATAAACGAGAGTTGCGGTCAAACGTCTAAAGCTGATATTTATATTTTTTTGCTCCCAGAAAGAGATTGACAATTCAAGATGCTCTCAATCATCCATGGATAAAGGTAATCTTAATCTTTATTTATTTAATTGTTAATTTTTACTTCTTTCGGCTGCTCCCTTCTTTAGGGGTCACCACAGAGAACTAACTCGCACAAAGACTTGGTGATTGTTTGCACACAGTATGTCCTTCCTGATCAACCACAGACCACTGAGCTACCACAGCCTCTGTGTGGAGCAAAGAGCTGCCAGCTAGGGTGCCTGGGGGAACAGAGGTGGGGCCTTGCTTAAGGATCCAGAGTGTGGCAAATGAGGGTGGAGGCAGGTGTGGGTGCTCCACTTTTCCCACACATAATTAGGCCCGAGCAGAGAAACACCATTGCTCTCTTCAGGCCCAAGCTGCAATTTTTTCCGCCAAATGATTTGCCGTTTTGAAGGCCTTAACATATCCCAAAAGTCACAAAATTTGGTGGACGCATCAGGACAGGTGAAAAATTACGTATTTTAAGGGCGTGGCAAAAATTGCAACAGAAGCGACTCAAGAGCGCCACCTAGAAATTTTCAAAATACCATCCGCATTAACCTTAGTTTGTCGTAGAAACATGAAATTTAGTAAGTTGTCCAATTACCCAAGATGCACAGAAACCCTCTGGCACCAATGTTGTACGATAAATAGGAAGGTGGCCATTTTGGAATGCCGGGCCAATTTTAACACCTTTTTGGCGGTTTACAGCCTCCACATTTGAACAAACTCCTCCTAGGGATTTCGCTCAGTCGGGTTCAAACTTGGCCATTTTGGTCAAAAGGCATGGGGTACGCAAAATTATCTAAACGGTTCGTTTCGGAGCATGCTGAAGGGGCGGGGCCCGACCTCAAAGTTTGACATCTCACCATGAAAAACAAAACGCTAATAGCTCCTACATGAAAACTGTCTGAGACATGAAACCTTCAGTAATTGATCCACATCCGGTCCCCTGCAAGACTGAATGGTCAAATCCTGACATCACTTAAGCCATGCCCCCTGACAACAGGAAGTGTAAAGTTTTACGTTGAACAATCCCTATCTGACCCCTGTTACATGATCAGCATGATAGTGTGTCCAGTGACTGAAGACATCTTGGTGTAACTTGCTTTCCAACACTGACAGTTTTGGGTGGAGCATGTGGGCGGCGCGGCGTGGCGAAGTAAGACATAATGCCATCGCCATACGTTTGGCTCTAAATTCAATAGTTTTGAACCAAGGTGCACAAAAACAGTACGATCGATCATTATCCACTCCTTGAACAGGAAACCAAGATAAGTGGCCAATAGCCTCCACAGCGCCCCCTAGAATATTTTAAAACCTCAGCCCCAAGCCATTTTTGGACTGATAATTCTGAAACTCAGTGAACATCTGTACCTTCTCAGGACCTATGAAAAAGTCTCATGGAGCCCTGGGCCAAACTCAACAGGATTTCGGCCATTTTGGGTCAAAGGGTTAATTTTGGGCATTTCTAATGGCACATTTTAACTAACTCCTCCTAGGGATTTTGATGGAATGCCTTCAAACTTGGTTCATATGCCCTTAACACATTGGGGAGTAAAATTTATCAAAAGCTTGCGCTTTCGTATATGTTAAAGGGGCGTGGCTTGGCCTCAAAGTTGAGCTTCATGCCATAAATTTCCAAACGCTACAACTTTCACATTGAAAGACCGAAATGCACCAAACTTGGCATGAGTCATCCCTGTCCGATGCCCGACGATCCTCTGTGGTCATATTCGGACGTCATCAAAGCCCCGCCCCCTCAGAACAGGAAGTCACTTGTTTTGCTTGGAATGAGTCCTCTCTGACATCCTTGACTGAATCAGGATGATCCTGTGTTAGAAGAAATTTAACAAGTTGGTCTGACTTGCTTTAAAGCACAAACCATTTTTGCTGGAAGATGTGGGTGTGGCGGCGTGGCGAATTCAGAAGTGACGCCGTTACAATACATTTGGCTCTAAAGTGCACAGATTTAAGCCAAGGTGCACCAAAAACACTATGACTGATTGTCATCCACCCCTTCAACAGGAATCCATGATAATTGGCCAATAGCCTACACAGCGCCACCTACATTTTTCCTAGAGTTATAGCTCAGTGATACAACATCCGAACTGCAGCAGATTTAATGTCCGTCATCAGTGAGGACTTTCAGACACATTGATATTATGGTTTAACATATGACTTTAGTGTGCCCCCTTGTTATATCTCAGTGATATATCATCCAATCTACGCAAGATTTTGGGTACCTCATTAGTGAGCACTTCTAGACTCATTGGTATTGTTGTTTAACTTTTGACTCCAGTGTGCCCCCTAGATTATTCCAACAGTTATATCGCAGTGAAATATCCAATATGTACCAGATTTTATGTACATGATCAGTGAGCACTTGTAGACACATTGATATTGTTCTTTAACATTTGACTCAAGTGCGCCCCATAGATTATTCCAACAGTTGGATCTCAGTGACACATCATCCAATCTGAGCCAGAATTTTGGTGCATAATCAGTGACCACGTCTACACATATTGATATTGTGGTTTAACATATGACTCTAGTGCGCCCCCTAGATTATTCCAACAGTTATATCTCAGTGAAAGATCATCCAATATGTACCAGATATGATGTGAGTGATCAGTGAGCACTTATAGAAACATTGATATTGTTGAATCATGAAATCGCTTAAGCCCCACCTACTCAGAGAAAAAACTGTTGATTATTGGATAACACTTCCAGCTTCGCACTGTGTAAGATATTAGACTGAAACTTTGTTTGCTAACTGTTGATTACCACACATGACATGTTGAAAAGCATAAAGGAAGTGCTTGTCAAACATTCGCCACAAAACAGGAAGTCACCATAACTCCTGTCTGGAAGGTCAGATTTCGCCTATACTTATAAAACCTGCAGCTGGACAAGCAATGACATGGACGGAAGGCGATGTCGAAGATTCGGGAAATGCGCCCCGTGGTAATCGCGTGCGGGATTGGCACGAGAGCGTTCGCAATGGCGACGAGGTAGACTAGCTGGAGCTCCCACGGTCGCTGTAAGGCCGGAGTGGTGCTCTGCTGCGAGGGCCTCTAATTCTGCTTGCAGCATTAATTTTGCCTGATCAGTGAAGCGCTGCAAAAGCCTATTGTAATCGCTTTGATCATTCCCGAGCTGCAATTTTTTCCACCAAAAATTGGCTTTTTGGGGGCCTTAACATATCGCAAAAGTCACCAAATTTAGAGGACGCATCAGGAATGGTGAAAAATTACGCATTTTAAGTGCGTGGCAAAAATCGCAACAGAAACGGCTCAAGAGCGCCACCTAGAAATGTTCAAAATACCCTCCGCAATAACCTTAGTTTGTCGTAGAAACATGAAATTTGGTACACTTGTCTAATTCCCCAAGATGCACAGAAAACCCTCTGGCACCAACATTGTACGATACACAGGAAGGTGGCCATTTTGAAATGCTGGCCCAATTTTAACACCTTTTTGGTGGTTTACAGAAATCGCATTTGAACTCCTCCTCCTAGGGATTTCGCTCAATCGGTTTCAAACTTGCCCATTTTGGTCAAAACGCTTGGGGGACGCAAAGTTATCTAAACGGTTCGTTTCGGTGCATGCTGAAGGGATGGGGCCAGACCTCAAATTTGACGTCTCGCCGTGAAAAACAAAATGCTAATAGCTCCTACATGAAAACTGTCTGAGACATCAAACCTTGAGTGATTGATCCACATCTGGTCCCCTGCAAGACTGAATGGTCAAATCATGACATCACTTAAGCCACACCCCCTGAACGCTAATAGATCATACACAAACCTTCAGTGATTGATCCACATCCGGTCCCCTGCAAGACCGAATGGTCTAATCATGACATCACTTAAGCCACGCCCCCTGACAACAGGAAGTGTAAAGTTTTACCTTAAACTTATCCCTGTCACCTGATCGGCATAATAGTGTGTCCAGTGACTGAAGACATGTTGGTGTAACTTGCTTTCCAACACTGACAGTTTGGGATGGAGCATGTAGGCGGCACGGCGTGGTGAAGTAAGACGTAAAGCCGTCGCCATACGTTTGCCTCTAAATTCCACAGTTTTGAATCGAGGTACACCAAAATCAGTATGATCGATCATTATCCAACCCTTGAACAGGAAGCCATGATAATTATCCAATTGCCTCCACAGCGCCCCCTAGAATATTTTAAAACTTCAGCCCCAAGCCATTTTTTGACCGATAATTCTGAAACTCAGTGAACATCTGTATCTTCTCAGGACCTATGAAAAAGTCTTTTGGAGCCCTGGTCCAAAACCAATAGGAAGTCGGTCATTTTGGGTCAAAGAGTCATTTTTGAGCTTTTCTAATGGCAAATTTTTACGAACTCCTTCTAGGAATTTTGAAGAATTGCCTTCAAACATGGTTGATATGCCCTTAACACATTGAGGAGTAAAAGTTATCTAAAGCTTGCGTTTTCATTTATGTTAAAGGGGCGTGGCCATGCCTCAAAGTTGCGCTTCACGCCACAAATTTCCAAACACTATAACTTTCACATTGAAAGACTGAAATGCACCAAACTTGGCATGAGTCATCCGTGTTGGATGCCCGATTATCCACTGTGGTCATATTTAGACGTCATCAAAGCCCTGCCCCCTCGGAAAAGGAAGTCTCTTTTTTAACTTGGAATGCTCCCTCTTTGACCCCTCCCTGGGCTGCCACCTTACCGTGGTGGAAGGGTTTGAGTGTCCCAATGATCCTAGGAGCTATGCTGTCAGGGGCTTTATGTCCCTAGTAGGGTCACCCATGGCAGACAGGTCCTAGGTGAGGGACCAGACAAAGTGCAGCCCAAAGACCCCGATGATGAGACAAATAAATGGACCTAGTGTTCCATCGCTCAAACGTAGGTCACCGGGGCCCCATTCTGGAGCCAGGCCTGGAGGTGGGGCACGTGGGCGAGCGCCTGGTGGCCGGGCTTTTACCCATGGAGCTCGGCCAGGCACAGCCCGAAGAGGAGACGTGGGTCCCCCTTCCCATGGGCTCACCACCTGTGGGAG